AAAGCCTTTAGTCCCAAGCAAGTTGGGGTAGGCTAGAGGTGAAACCCATAAGATCTCGCAACCAACTCATGGCTCTGGCACATGGATAGCAAGCTTCCACGCACCCCTGTCCATAGCTAGCTCTTTGTCGATACTCCAATCCTTCAGGTCTCTCTTAACGGACTCCTCCCATGTCAAAATCGGTCGACCCCGCCCTCTCTTGACATTCTCCGCACGCTTTAGCCGTCCGCTATGCACTGGAGCTTCTGGAGGCCTGCGTTGAATATGCCCAAACCATCTCAAACGATGTTGGACAAGCTTCTCCTCAATTGGTGCTACCCCAACTCTATCTCGTATATCATCATTCCAGACTCGATCCTTCCTCGTGTGGCCACACATCCATCTCAACATACGCATCTCCGCCACACCTAACTGTTGAACATGTCGCCTTTTAGTCGGCCAACACTCCGCGCCATACAACATTGCGGGTCGAACCGCCGTCCTGTAGAACTTGCCTTTTAGCTTTTGTGGCACTCTCTTGTCACAGAGAATGCCAGAAGCTTGGCGCCACTTCATCCATCCGGCTTTGATTCGATGGTTCACATCTTCATCAATACCCCCATCCTCCTGCAACATTGACCCCAAATACCGAAAGGTGTCCTTCCGAGGTACCACCTGGCCATCAAGGCTAACCTCCTCCTCCTCACAGCTAGTAGTACTGAAACCGCACATCATGTACTCGGTTTTAGTTCTACTAAGCCTAAACCCTTTCGATTCCAAGGTTTGTCTCCATAACTCTAACTTCCTATTTACCCCCGCAATCAATAGAAAATATATAGCTGCATAACTTGGTTGTGACAAAATTATTCCTTAAGCAGTGATGTTGTGTTCATGCAAATAAAAATGAAAACCAAGGAGACCTGTCCAAGAACAAAAGATAACTCACCTTCAAATCATTGGTGAAGCTTAACCTTAATTAGTTCTTGAACTGAGCCCTTCTTGCAGATGATCTGCGGCAAGGCCCCAAAAGCATGCTTGATAGCATCCATAGTATCACAATATTCCGGTCGCCAGCATTTCCTGGCTATGCTTTGAACTGTTTTCCAAGCAATCAAATATGAGAGTTCATAATTTGATGTCTGAATGACTGTTATAGAGCTTACCACACTGTTCTTTGTGGAGACAAAATTCATGTTAAAAAATATATATGATTTCAGGACACGGAAAATTCATGAAGCTCCTGAACTAAATGTTGAAAGATACGAATGTAAACCGGTGGCAATTAATCGTGCCAAGGAAGATGCTATGAATATGCACTTTTAACACCTCAGTGGCAGCAACAACTCAGATAAGGTAATATACTTTCTATTCAGTGCATATCTAATACACTCAAAGTTGAAGTTGAAATAACTAAATCAAATGGAAAATGAGGCATGATATTGTTATATAAAAATATCAAAACAGATTGTTCACATGAAACTCAACGGTGGTGAAAGCCTGGAAAGCCAAGTTCATAAAGCCCAAATCCAATGAGTGAAACAAGAGGACCCGCAGATAATGGGGGACAACATTGCGCCAGAGACCACTGAAACCATGGATGATTTGAATCATCATCGCGATTATGAGAGCGCTTTGTGTCCCCCTCATCGTCCGTAGGAATTTTCTTGACAACAACACAAATTTGTTAGCCTCCGTACAGGAACTCGTACATGATGAGAACTTGAGAAGGCAATTCTGCTGGACAGTAATAAGTACCTCGTGAGGATCTGCCTCATTGCCTCAGCATCCGGCCAAGATGATGGAGATGGTTGGCACAATGAAAGTGTTGGAGCCACCCATCACGACGTGGAGACGAGACCCCAAGAAGGTTTGCAGTAAGGTGTTTATGCCGACGACGAACAGGAGCGTCTAGATTACCCGAGCTTTCTCCTCCTGACAGAAATTCAGGGAGTGTCTATCATTTATATGCGCGGCATATTCAGTGCCAGCTTAGTAGTACTTTTTTAGAGATATCAAATTCATGTGTCAAGTGAATATAACCAACATTTGGTAGCGCACAAATAAAGAGCTGAGGGCTCACATTTCCACCTCCCATTTGAGGAACAAGCATCGTTGGTATGATGATGCTGGTGTCCAACATGACTATGAAATGTTGAAATCCTAGTATCACGGCCTTGGTTCCGCCCAAGATTACAAGCACAAGAGGAACATCAACTTATATACTATTTGATTAATATGAGTAGTACATACTATCAATTGCATAAAAGCATGTGCAGCTGAAAGGCCTTTTCATTATAAATAAATTCAAGATCAATGAACCAGCAAAAGAATTTGTTTCCAACAAAAAACTTTCTCTACTGAAAATATGAAGACTGATGTGCATCGACAACAACAAAAATAGGTCAGTAATCAGCACACATGATGCAGTGGGAAAGAAAGCCTGGACATGAAACAAGTACGAGCAAAAACTGAGGACAGTGAAGGACAAGCACGGAATGTAAGAGGGAAACTTTCAAAGAGCAAATCAAGAGGCCCCTGAGGCGGGGTGAAGCAGAGCACGGTACGCCATGGCGGTGAGCTGGTGATGCAGAAAGACACGCTGGGCAGCTGCTCCTTGAGCGGATGCCGCTGCAGCTCGTCGGCCTTGGGCGGCGGGGCGGCTGCCATCTTCCTCCTCCTCCCTTTCCGGCTTCAACCTCCCAAGAAACTATGTACATACCATGTTATACATCAGATATGTTTTCCCCCCAAATTTCCTTACATGGTACATGGAGAAATCTTTTGGAACAACCAAAAGCCGCGAGCAGGGGAATTAAGCAAATAAGACCTACATGTCCCAGGCGCTGCTCCATCATGAGGAGCACAGCTACCTTGGCCGTGTTTCCGGCAACAGTGTCATCGAGTAATAAGCGGACCTCTTCAGGAGAAGACATGTTACATATCATGATTCCATCGCATAAATCTTCAAAATCTAAAACCTTCAAAAAGACCAAAGAGAATTAGTTCGAAGAACACACTGAAATTTGCCTCACCTTACATGCACACAACATTTGTGATCTATCTCTTTTTTTCGGGCGTGTGATCTATCTCCTTGAAAATTAAAATATATGCCTCATCATATTTCCTTCTCTTTAGTACAAACCTTGACCATGATCATGATCACTAATTCAGATTTTGTATACTGCAAGTTCATGCTAGCACCAGGTATTCATTTGTAATATGGATCAAGCAAGAGAGAGAGAGTGAGAGAGGATTGGGAACATACTAACAGAGGATGTGAACAGACGAAAGGGGCAACCTCAATTCCTCGGTCCTCCAGAGCCGCCATCAAAAAGGGGCAGAGATGGTGGGGTCGACCTGCCGTTGCCGTGCGATGGACGAACGGTAGCGACCATGTCGTGGGCGGCCCTCTCTGCAGCCCGCACGTCTATCTCTGCAACCTGTGTTCCTTGTGCCGAGGTGGCCATTGCGGGCGCTCATATATTACAAGAAGATAATTCAACAAACCATCAAAATTAGCAGTATACTGTATCTTAGAGAAGAAGAAAAAAGCTCTATGTACTAAATCTGCAGTACAATCACCTGACGAAGAAGATCAGCCACAGTTAAGGAACTTTGATGAACTATCTACATGTGTTCTCTTCTCCTCAGTCTGCAGGCTTCACAAACAAAGAGCGAAGGCAAAGAGATCATGATCATTTCTGAAGAAAAATAATTTCAAAGCAAAAGTGAGCTTGTTCATTGTCTTCACACCATTCAAATGTGTCAACTTGTATTCAACTATAACATCTAAGCATTACTAATTACATAGAGTAGTGGGACTGGTAAAGAAACTTTATTTTTCATTGTCCTCTAATCATAACGAATTGCATAGAGTGGCTGTCATCTTAAAAAATACGATTCTTTATCATGTAAACATAACAAAGTACACAGTAGCAGTCAGATTGATAAAAACTGGGGGGATGAGATGATGCTTCACGGCTACTGTTTGACAGTTAAATTAACAATAGAACCCATTTATTATTCCAATCAAAGAGGTAAACAACTGTAATCCGATAGAGAATATGGCTAGGTCTGTACCAAAAGGGGCCGGAGGTGCAGCAGATCCTTGCTCGAGCCGGAGGCGGTCAGTACGAACCTACCATACCCCGACAGAGGGAGGGGAGTGGGGGCGCACCTTGTTGATCTCCATGGCGTCCCGAGAGAGGGTGGCAGGGCGTAGGACCGGCGCGAGATCGGCGCCAGGGCAGTGCGAGCTCGTGCACCAGCTGTCCCCTCCGGCTAGCAGAGACGCGGTTAGCATGAAGAAGAACAAAAGAGCAGAGAGCTAGCGGCGGGCAAATCGGCGGCGGCTCACCTTGGCTTGATCTCCTCATCCACGTTTCCCTCCGCTGCAGTTTGCCGCAGCTCACGCTCGTCCGATTGAGCACCAACGAGGAGGAAGGGACGGAGCGCGAGCGTAGGCTGGAGGCAGTGGAGCTCGGGGCGGGAGAGGAGAGGGCACGAGCACAGGGGAGGGCGGCGGCGACGCTAACCCTAGCTGTCGGAAGAAAAGGAAAAAAGGACGCTGGGTTGCGACTTGCGAGGGGAAAAGGCACTGGTTTTTTTCTCTCCACATTCGGTCCAGTAAATCTCGGTACAGTAAATCAGGACAGGTGAACTGATTTTCCGTCGACTTACATAACCGTGTAACAAACTTAAACCTTGTTTGGATTCCGCACGAAAAACATGGATAAGTAGGATTCAGTTTCCACAAAATCAGTAATATGCGTTTTCTGAAAAACGACTAATAGTTGTTTTTGTGAAAACATGATTGTAGAAACTCACGGCAACTGATTTCTCCTTCCGCATCAAATTCATCAGCACGGTTTGTGCCTTACCGCACCTGAAACTCATTCAAAGCCACCGGCTGGCATGCACGCCGATTGACTTTGAGCACAAGCACTCTACCGTCGGCCTGGTCGAGCGGGAGCGGCCACCGTCGTTCACGCGCGGCAACTCGTTGAAGGGAAGCGGCCGCCGTCGTGCACGCACGCCGAGGCGTCGAGTAAAAGCGGGCGCCGCCGTGCGCGAACGCCTGAGTCGTCAAGGGGAAGCGGCCGCTGCTGCCGTTCGCATGTGCCGCGTTGTGTAGAGCAAGTGGTCGCCGCCGAGCGCGAACTCCTGAGTCTCTAGGGGAAGCGGCGGCTGCGCACGGCGAGCCGTTGAGTGGAAGTCGTTGCCGTCGTCCGCACTTCAGCGGCATCCCCTTGGTGAAGCCTTCAATGAAGGAGAGAGGAGCAGCAATCGGCGTCTAGGCCCTGATTCATCTAGGGTCGAGAAGGATGGAGCAGCGATGTCAGCGAGCAAAGGAAGGAGGAGGAAGCGGAGAGGGCCGAGGAGGAACTCGAGGGGAGCAGTTGCATATACGTACTTCAATGGATAAGCAATGGCGGCCACTTTGGGGAAAGTGGCGAGCAAAGATTAATGAGTCAGGGGGCTATCTACTTTCCTGCCAAACATAGTTTTTTATAAAATGATTATTCATAAAAACGTAGATAAAATCGACTTTCCTATAAATCAGCTTAAAACGCATCTTCTATAATCCCATCGCTAATCTCCTCTATCCAAACAACCACTTATTGGGTTTAATTCGATTGGTTCCCGCACTTGTCACATCCTTTTTGCACGTCCTCTGGCTCCTGCCCGTGGTGCTTTCTTTTGCTTCATCAGCCACAGTGCCAGTCAGACGGCTCACACACATGCACGCGCATGCACCGTACTGGTTGACTTACACCAAGGTTTGAAAATACCCACGTTAAACCAACCGAATGACACAAACAGAAGGTCCACAGGTCATTCAACAAGAAAAGACAGAGAAAAGGTAACAAAATTTACCATGCAGTCAACTGATCCAACGACCAACAACAAAAGTCAAACGCCATCAGACGGACACGAACAATGAGCGCGGGAGGAGCTCCATGGAGGAGGGTCAGCTAGCATCCTTATATGTTAGAATAAGTTCACTCATTTTGCTCTGTAGTTTATAGTGGAATCTTTTAAAAGACTTATATTTAGGAACGGAGGGAGTATGTTTCTACTACAAATTGTCACTTTTTCCTGCTGTGCCTATGGATTTAAGTTTTGAACAAAGGTATGCTGATAAGGTTGTCAAGTTTTTCCTGTAAACTAAACATGGAGAGAGATTTAGTATTGCCTATACTCTCAAATCATGCACAACACAACATTTTTTCAGTTTGTAGCTTCGAGCAACAAAGTGCCCATATACTGGTGGCACCAATCACTAGTTCCACTAATACCATTTATTAACTCCCAGAACCCTACCCTGCCACCTGTAACCTGTGGGTAACTAGAAATAGAGGATTATTTTTATTTCACTTTTGAAGGGAAGCACAGCCAGAGCCCATGCCGAGAAGGAAGTTATGAGAACCACTAAAAGTTGAGGTCACAAACCATCTTTCTGGTGGCTGGGGAGCTAATTAAGGTTTTCACAAACAAAACAGTATACGTTACTGACATGGCATATTCATAGTATCAACACATTTTGCACAGCATGACTGCTGAATAATCAAAATAGAAACATCACTTCACACAGCATAATAATAGATTTTAGTAGGCACAAATAGTCGGATAACATTAGGTGGATACACAAACAGTTGGACATACTATAGCTAATCAATACACAAATACATCAACAGTTTCGCAACCCACATGCAAGACAAGAACAGATAAAATGGGCGGGAGTGAATCATAGTCCATAGCATCCATGCCACAAGAACCATTGTCCTTAGAGGATCTCCTTTGCAAAAATAAAGGAGATAGACCTATTGTGGTCTTGAGTGATGGTTGTTGAGTTAAGAACGTGTGTTATGTTTTCTTCTCCCGTTGCAACGCCCGGGCTCTTTTGCTAGTGAATAAAAAATGATATATCTAGATATATATTAGTTCTAGATACATCCTTTTTATCGGATAGACGAAGGGACTACCCTCTACTGTATTGTAATGTATTGAGTCATATACAAGTATACCATCACCTGTGGCAGTTAGTTGATTTTCCTTGTATGTTTCTACGACAAATTGTCACTTTTTCTGTCGTGCCTATAGATTTTAAGGCATGCTGATAAGGTTGTCAAGTTTTTTCTTTAAACTAACAGTTTTGCTAAAGCACATTTGAATGTGCCATAAGTATTGCACATCTAAATCGTATGTCATTGATCTTACATTAAGATTTGTGTGAATATTTTCTTTCTCCTTTTTCTTTTTTTTCTTTATGCTTGATTCATTCACTTAGATATGCAATAACTAGAGCACATTTAGATATGCCCTAGACACACCCTTAAACTAAACGTGGAGAAAAATTCAGTATTGCCTGTCCTCTAAAATCATGTACGTACGACACACCATTTTTTCGGTTTGTAGCTTCGAGCAACAAAGTGCCCATATATTGGTGGCATCAATCACTTTTACCATCTGTAAAGAGTATCTACAGCCAGACTTGACAAATCCGACCCTTCAAACGCCCGCGGACGCGTCTGACAAATTTCCAATCCCACAACCAGGCACCTCAATTAGCATATCTCAAATTCATGCAAACCCATGCAACTACGTAAACGATGTTACATCGTCCAGCTACTATAACATGCCATCGGACTACCAAAATTTGGCATGTTTGGCTATGGTGGAGAAGATCATCCACGGCTGCCCTTGCACTTCCCAACGCCCTTGTCGTCCTTCTCGCGGAAGTACCGGTCGAAGATGGAGTAGGGATCAAGCCGGATCTACTCCATAGCCACAAGAACAATCAAACATGTCCTTAGAGGATTTCCATCTTGTTCTTGATAAGCTGGGACCAAGCAACAGTAATCTCCACCTTAGAGTCACCAATCTCACATATACCTCGACTTATGTTGCAATATTTGGTCCTAAACGTGAGACAGCTTTGCCTAGCAATGGCACCAGATTGTGAGTAAGCTTGTATGACAAATCGCAGGTTATGTCCCAGTTCTACAGAAACAACTTGCCTTGACAGATCAACGTAACCAGCTGAGCCCATTGGCATTTCTCCATCAAATTCATGAGAATCAACCAACACAACATGCCTGGATAGGGGGTCCTTAACTTCCTGTGGTGGTGAGGAGCACATAATCCGGCCGCCGTATTCAAAAGGTGATGGCCGCCCTTCAACAACACGGACACTCAAGATAGTAGCTTGGACGGTTTCTGTAAGTCGCTCAAAGCTTAACTCTACCGTGCAAAAGGAGTTGCTAAAGAGCGCTCTATCTGAACCTTCACGATCACCAGGGTAAGTCTGGAAGTGACTGATCAATGCTTTGTCACCAGACCATGTTGTGCCCTTTACTTTGAGTTGGATTTCGAAGTCAACATTGTCCACAGCCACAATCGCACGAGATGGGCCAGTCAGGTGCAAAAAAGGATCCTGCAAGGATCATAATCGTCAGTATAGTTCAATGCAACAAACAACGACAGAAGAAGAAAAAGAAGGAGAAAATGAAGAACAAAATGGAAGACCGTATATTACCTCTAGAGTGAGTTCTTGGTAGTCATCCCTTTGCCGAGCGAAGAGAATGTTACGGTTGTGATCTACGGCATCTCAGGCAGCGACGACCCCGTAGACATAGAGTGGCCACTTCAACTTTCCCTTTGTTTCAACAATCTTGACAGAGTAGATCTGCAAGGCGCTCACAGTGGTAGCAGTGTAGGGGATCAGTCCCAGCGTGCAATGTGTAAAGTGCATAGGACTCAATAAGGCTGCAGCACCAAATTAATCCAAGTGTTAGCCATGTTCCAACATGAATTACTTACTTATATGCAATGAATGAAGGAAGGAAGGACGGAAGGGAGGGGGGATCTGCTTGCATTGCCATTGTTGGAAGATGAATACGATGAGAAGGAATCAATGGGTGTTTAAGTTTACTTACTCATGTCTTCGAAGTCACTGCGGTCTCCCCATGCAGATTCCCAGCCTTTACGGCGTCTAGCAAACAACCTGTCCTCCATCTCCATCTCCTCTGCCTCGTCCTGATGTGAGACAGAGATCCAGTTTGGCGTGTCCTTATCATCCTGCTCCTGGACTTTGAGAAAGTTGGCTTGCATCTCTAATAGCAACTTCTCAAATTGGTCAGCCATCGCTAAATCCTCCGGGGTCATCTTCCCCTTGTCCTCCTCCTCCTCACATTGCCATACCCCGCACTTCATGCTCCTCATCGGAATCCAGCACCATCACCACTGCCTTTGTGCTTGATTTGCTTTCATTGCTTGATTTGCCTTCATTGCTTGAATTGCCCTCATCCATCATCCTCGACGTATGTGTCTCCGTGCTTGATTGGCCTTCATTGCTTGATTTGCCTTCGCTGCTTGAATTGCCCCCGTCCATCATCCTCGACGCATGCGTCTCCGTGCTTGATTGGCCTTTATCTGTCATGGGATCAATCATCTCCATGTACTCCTTGTTACTCTGGTTCTCGTAGGAGTGGACAGTCGCCTGGTCGCAAAGGCCACTTATAGGATCCGCTGCCACGAAATGTACATCCTCCTCATCAGTCATCTGGCCATCAGGACAGTAGGCAGCCATCTGCGGCGTTTCCATGTTTGATTTACAAAGGCCCGTTGTCAGATCTGTTACCGATGCATCCACATGTTGCTTGGTTCCCTGGTTCTCAAAACAGTGGGTGCTGGATTTGCTTTTGTCCTCCTCGGTCCTCTGGTCCTCAACATTTTGGTCAGCCATCTTTTTATCTGCATTCGCGGTTGAATGTAGTATATCCAGGGAGATCTTAGATAACCTCTGCGCGGCGTTTAACTGATCGAAGACCTTGTAATAGGAGATAACGGGGACACTAATTTTGGCCAGAATAGATGCCATGGATGCCATCTCGTCGCACAAGGCATCCGTCCGTTGCAATATATGACTGAATAAGCAGTTTAGGCGCTCGCCCTCGTCCTCACCGCCGTGGGGCAAATATACATGCTCGGAGTTGGATATGAATCCGGACGTGATCTCGCTCCTCAGGGACATGATCTTCCTCGCGATCTCAGGGTCGAATTGAAGAATGTCAGACTGCTTCTCCCTGAGCAAGTTCGCCAGGGATGCAATCTCCATGCTCAGGATCTCTGCTTCGGAAGGAACTTGCAGCTTCCGATCCATCTCCCGAGGCGTCCTCACCTCTCCTCCCCCGCCGCCACCCGCCATCGATCTCTCTTCTCTTACTTTTTTGGTTGATTGAGATTGCTAACCAGGCTTGCCGTCTGGTATTCTCGCCGCCGCCGCCGCAGTCTCCGCCTCCGCCAAACTTAGGGTTTCTATGAGGAACGAACGGGGGGCGATTCTTTACGCTTATACAGTATTCATCTCACGCTCGACTCCGGCTCGGCCCGGCCCAGACAATCGAGACGGGCACGGGACACCGGCTCACTCGGATTTGCAAAGTGAGACAGTAGCCAAACTCGGATTTGCCTAAGAAAAACAAAGCCAGACTCAAAAAAAAAGGCAACTTTTTTTTTTCTGTAGCCAGTGCGGGTGGGGTGGGGAAGCTCCTGGCCAAATATCATTTCACGCTTAAACCAACTCTACTGACTCCCGTCCCTTTTCGAAAAAAAACCTATAATAGCTCTCGTATCCGTGAACCAACCTGTGCCATCAGAGTTTAAGTCATACACTTAATATTGATGCTCGCATTACTTATGTATTTATTTCAGCCTTCCCGCGATATTCGTTCAATAGGAGGAGACGTTCCCGTCAACTGCAAGGCGTCCGTGATGACTTCGTAAAATCTCAAGATGCTATACCGTCTTAATTTCTCAGATGTCCTCACAGGGGTAGGATGTGTGTGTGCGCGTGTACGCGCCTTCATAAGAGTGAGTGTATGCTCATGTATGTAAGCGACTTTAGTTGTACCGTGTTCAAAAAAATAGCTCATGTGTCCCTAAAAAATTACCGTATCGAAAGTTGGGCGGGAAAAAAAAGCCTCCAGCAGCTTTCGTAAATTCAAATTTTTATATGGATCTCTTATGATCACCTTCCTTGTCACTTACATTTGGCAGAAGATGGTCTTCTTGTATAATTTTGACGAGTGAATAACCGCCTAAAACTTTACTGGAGATGAGCCTTGTGTCGCGTCGGGCTGCCACGTTGCTGATGTCGCCACCCTGTCGTGCGAGCCCGCCGCCTCCCTTGCCCCATGCCGTTGTGAGGCCGCCACTGCCCCGTCTCCTACCTTTGCCCCGTGAGATCATGTTGCCATGAGGCCGCCGCCAGGTCACGCCGCGACAAGGGCTCTCACCGCCAAGTCGCGCCACCGCCCCCGGAACCCGCCTCCTCTCCCCTACGCCGTAAGGCTGCATCGTCGCTAGGTCACGCCACCTCACTGCTCCGCAAGCCGTTGCCACGTCGTCTCACTAACTTGTGGGCCCAGCGTCATGTCACTAACTTGCGGCCCAACACAGTTTAGTAAGAAAAAGGAAAAAAGGATATTAGGGGAATAAGTTTTATGAAAACTTCATCTAATTTATACCGCCATCCCGTAAAACGACTTTTACGGGATGATTTTTACATGAGCTATTGGAGTTGCTCTGAGGCGCCAAATAGAGGCCAATTTTTTTTTTGAGAATCTCTTTTTTTTAGAAAATTTTGATAATCTGATAAGGCCAAACTTTACAGTGCGCACACCTCCCTTTTTGCTAGATCTAAGTGGGCTTGCAGGCCATTATATTTCCTCCCACCGATTTTTGGGGTTGGGTTTTATGTGGTTTTGTTTTTCCCTGGTTTTTGCTTGGTATTTTCGTATTATTATTTTTTCTATTTTTATGTTTTCGTTTTATCATTTAAAAATGCATGATATGTTTTCAATTCTGTGTTTTTTTTGGAAACTGCAAACTTTTCTTAATTTTCAGGAACATTTTCAAATCCATGAAATTTTCCCTTTCACAAAAATTTTAAAACCCATTAAAAATTTACAGGTGGTAATTTATTTCAAATTCATGAATATTTTTTAAATTCAAGATTTTTTAAAACTTATGAACATTTGTAGATTCATAAACTTATTTTAAAGTCCATTATTCTTTAAGAAAATATGAATATTTTATGAATTTGTGAACATTTTAAAATTTATGAACAATTTTCGAAATTGTGAAAAAACGTGAAATAATTTCAATACATGATTTTCTAAAATATAGTCTTTTCTCGAATTCATACACTTTTTTCAATTTGTAAACTTTTAAAACTCTATAAAAAAAAAGCTCCATGCAAAAAAACTCTACAAAAAAGCATAGCTAGTTTTTTACAAGCCAGAGTTTTTGTTTTCTCAAGTCTGAGCCAACATAACGAGCATGACGAGAGCAGGTTGATATTGAGCTGCGGCTCATTTTTTATGCGCGTCAGCGGCAACATGCAACTCAGCGGGTGCCCCTGTATCTCGCCTTCAGCGAGAGGGCAGGAACCCTCGCTGAGGCTTTGTTTGGTAGAAGAGTATTTGAGAGGTTTTGGGAGGAGGGGATTTGGGAGGATTTGGTGAATCCCTCCCTTCCATCCAATCCCCTTCATTCCCCAATCCCCCTCCAGCCAAAATTCCCTTTGTAGAAAAAATGCATTTGGTTGACAGGGTTTGCCATTTTTGTGATGACAATTCACAGTGATCTCTCTTTATATGTTTCTCAGATTCAGTATAGTAAGCCCCAAATTTTCTACATTTGCAGAACAAGTCTCACACTTTCATGACCTTATGTAACTTCATTAAAAAGAGAAAAAAAACTTCATTTGCAGCTAAAATTTAGCCCAATTTGCAGTATGCCACTGAAAGTTACTGGTTCTGAACTTCAAATACCTACACTAAACATTTGACTATAAAATTGTACAAAAGAAAACTATATGCAAAGTTCAGGAAGCTAGTTCAGTACAGTACTAAACTAGCATGTATTCAGTATACTACATGTTCCAGTGACCCCTGTGCCCAACAGTCCATCCGTGCAGTTCATAACATTTTTAAATTTAAACTGTTCATGCACCTCACAGCGTTTGGACAAGGAAACAAGTCCTGATCTAACAAGGACAGAAACAAGGAAACAAGTCCTGATCCAATACGGGTAGAATAAAGGACATCATATCTTCATCATCCTCGCTTCTCCTCT